TGGACAAAATTTTAAGTGTAAAAAATTGGAATACACCGATTATAATGGATTTGAAAGAATGCAATGTTTCATTGATTATGCTTTGCGAAAAGTATGCATTTTTCGTTATTTCAAATTTTTACTTTTAATCCTTTCAGTTCCATAAATGCAACGAAAGGGAAAAAATATTTTAATAAATTCGAAAATGTTCCAATAAAAAATATTTTTAAAAATATTCTAACAAGTTCGAAAATATTTCAACAAAAAAAGATTTCTAAAAATATTCCAATGGTATTTTAATAAATGAGCAAAAAAACGTTTGATCTTTCGAGAATTAAATCGTCTTCTCATCTATCTGAAATGCGATTAGCTCTATTTTTACAGGTATTTCTGTTGGTATTTCTTTTTACAGATATTTCTTGCTAGTGGATGGTGGCTTAGTACAGGTATATAATTATGAAGGTCATATGCAGTGCTTTTTGAAACTACCCGCTATGAGTGGATCAAGAGAAGCGGTTAGTGAAAAGACTGCCGCAATTTCGAATGATACGATAGCTATTCGAGATCGAATGGATTTGAAGATGGTGCATTTTTTTGAAACAATCACCGGAAAGAGTGCTGGAAATGGAAATTTTATACATACCGTAAGGATTTTACAAATTTCTTAACAATGAATGTAAGGATAAAATTTGTTTTAAGTGTTATAAGGTAGTCAAAAAAAAACTTGATTAGCTTTTATAAAAAATAAAAATAATTTACAACTTTTGTGTACTTAATTTTTTTTTTTTCAAGTCACCAACACATCGAGACAACTGAATTAGTATAGATATATTCAAATGGTTGGATGATTTTTTCTGAATGAAAAAAATTATTTCAGAATGATATAATCGAAATAGCAATAAGTCAGTGTGGATCAGCGAATGATCGAAAATTAGCATTTATTGATAAGTATTTGGATTGTTTTTTAGTAACTGCAAAAAGTTATGGTGTTTTACAAAAAATAGCAAAAATTGGTAAGTTATGTAAGCCCGAAGGATAATTATTAAAATTTTTGAAATAAAAAAAAATAAAATTGTTACTTTTGTGCTAAATCATGAAACTAAATTTCTGTAGTTTCGATTAGAACATATTTTGCTTTTTTTTAAAAAATTTTTTTCAGCAAAAAAATTTATCTTTTCATATTTTCCTCATTTGAGGTAGCTCTTAAATAAATAAATAATAATATTCCTAAAATTATTTCTAAAATTTTTCTAAAATTATTCCTAAAATTTTATGAATGAGAGGTGATATGCTTAATTTCCACAGAATAATTTACAGCGTTGTCGAAAAATAAACTTTTTTTTCTCTTGTATTCTACAGTTTTGCTTAGATTGTAAAATTTAAAAATCGATATTGAAGGTACAATGGTGACAAATATTCTTTTTAATGATCAAACAAATATGCTTGCTGGTTTACAAGATAACTGTCTTGTTGTATGGTTATATCCAGCTGTTGTTTTTATCGATCGTGATTTACTCCACAAAACAATATTCGAGAATGATAAGAATAATTTTGAAAAATCATCATATTTACACAAGTTTGTTTACTATTTAATTTCTTAAAAAATTAAACATTTACATAAGTCTGTTTTAATTTTTACTAAATATTTTTTGAGGAAAATTTTAGAATTGATTATGTCTTACTTTGAAGTTCTAATTATTTGCGGTAATGATTAATTATTTGACAATTCTAAAA